AGAAACTCCATTAATTCAGTGTAGTGCCTCTATCAAATGGATTGGCAAACTTCCCTTGGTCGTTCATGAGGTATCTGTAATTTCCTATGTTCATTGCCGCCATGTAAAACTACAAAAATAAATGAACTGTTAAGCAGGTGAATCTGATTTCTAAAGATAAGCTGCCTTAATTTCCAACTTGGTTACCAGCTAAAGTTGTATTAGGTCAAATCCTTCTTACTTTATTTCATACAAGTTGCTCCAATGACCTCAATGAGGCTCTGAATAGGGCAATCGGAGTTTTGTTCCATAAGTATCTGCAAAAATCCTGTTTTTTTTCAGGAATATTGAAGACAAAATCTATGAATAAAAATAGTCTTATTTATATCAGATTAAAGATTTATCACATAAAAGCCTATACTGTGCATTATATCCAGAGCCCCATGTGTTCTGCAACTGTCTTTCTGAAATCCACCCTTTCCTACAGAAGAGTACTCCAGATGAAAACTTTTATTTAAAAATAAAATGATGGGCCATATTGTCCCATTATTAAGTCTCTAATCCACCACTTGGTTGTGAAATAAATCTTCAAAATCTGAACAGGGTTTAAACAGATTCAGCGTTGCATCCCTGAGTCTGCAGACAGCCTGAAACACCAACCTTGAGAGATGTGAATTGCCTCGCTTATCTCAATGGGCTGTGAAGGCTGAAACTTAGTGGCAATTTCAAAGTCAACAACATTAATTATTTCACTGCAGATAATTTTGAGGTGAAGCATCCAACTGTTGTGTTTCTCAGTCTCAAACTGTTTCCTCTGGCTTTGCAGATGTCAAAAATTCCAACTGCCAAAACGTTCAGCTTCACCTCAACAAGTCTTACGATGCAGCTGTCAGTTCTCACTCCACAAATCTGTGGCATATCAAAAACTGAAAATATGGGGACAATGTAAAACAGACTCCAACCTCAAATGAATAACAGAGTGTACTGTAATGTTTGTATTTTGTCTTCATATTTAATTCATTAAAGACCTGAGCCAAAAGCCAATAGAAAGATTCCTGTTAACTTTAATAGGCTTTGGATCAGGCCATAAAAACCTAAATTTTTTTAAATTTAAATGAAGTTGCCACAGAAGTTCAAGTTTGTAGGAGAGTGCTGCAGAATTCAGTCATTTTGCACAGAATTAAGATCTGGGTTGTCATGAAGGACACAGGGCCTTGACTATATAGATTATTGAGGCAGCACAATATAAGCTAAATGTTTCACTACCCTTGGCTTCTCAAAACTTCAGTTCTAAAACTGAAAATATTCCACAGCTTGTATAAATCTAGTGCTATTTTGCTAAATCTCCTACCCTGCATGATATGTCTTTATTTACAATGGGCTTATTTTCAATATACACAGAAGGACTTGAAAATCCAAATAACCAACTGAAATTTTTCACGGACTATAAATTCTTATTTGCAAGTGAGAAACACTAGAGGGCATTAAAAGTTTTATTAATCTGTTAATTCCACAGCGCTCTCAACAGCAGCTCTCTGTGTGGTTGACAAAACATTTACATGACAGAAAAGCTGTGAAGGTCACTGTGCAGTGGGGCATGTAGAAATTCTGGCACTTAAATAAGTACAATTATTGTTTCAGGCAATAAGCACGTGCATTAGACAATGGAAACAAACAACAAAATATAATGCACATGTTCTCTCAGAATGTAAATGAAACAGAATTAAATAGACACCATTTCTGAGGTTGAATTTTCTATGAGGGGCCAGGCAGCTGGCAACATTAAATTTTACATCTTGTCTCTTCTAAAAAAAAATAGAATAAATCTTTTATTTTGCCAGCAGTTGTAGAAGTGCTCTTCAAAACACTTTTGTAAATATAGTTCTATTGAAATTCTATGAGCAGCTAGCTTCTGCTTCCAATGAATTCCAAACTATATATGAGGAAATATGAGTTAAAGAACAGGTGAGTAGTAATTTGGACAGTACAAGTCAGTTATCAAAAATGGGATGGAATTAGCAGCAGGACCGGCTCCAGGGTTTTTGCCACCCCAAGCGGTGGGGGGAAAAAAAAAAAGCGCCGATCGCAATTGCGATCGGCGGCACTCCAGTGGCAGCTCCACCATGCCGCTTTCTTCTTCGGGAATTCGGCAGCAGGTGCTTCCCTCCGAGAGGGACCCACCACCGAATTGCCGCTGAAGAGCCGATGTGCCGCCCCTTTCCCTTGGCCGCCCCAAGCACCTGCTTGCTGGGCTGGTGCCTGGAGCTAGCCCTAATTAGCAGGATGGCTCCTTGCTTTCCCTGTAAATATTTGGAATCTACATGCAACTCTCTGCTCTGTGATCCATATCACAAACTTTTTCCCCTTGGAAAGATAATGCAGTAGAAACTCAAAAGGCACAAGAATATGAAATGGACTTTCTCTGGCTGATATTACCTCTGTGTCATGAATTTTGACTGCCAACTTGTAACAAGTCCATGCATCTCATTCTAAAACCACAGGAAATGGTACCTATGCTCAGTGCTGAAATAGGCAGGAATGCCAAAAACATGAAGAATTCCAGAGAATTCACAATGGAAGCTTACAGATAAGGAGCAGAACTCTGTGTTTACAGTTGAAGTAGAATGACACTGTGGCTCCATGGCTGATCTCCTCCTAACTTAGGTTTCTGAGGGCAGCTTTTATTCACTTAGGGGTATGTCTACACTAAGGGATTAATCCGAATTTATATAATTCGAATTTTGGAAACAGATTGTATAAAGTCGAATGTATGTGGCCACACTAAGCACATTAATTCGGCGGTGTGCGTTGATGTTCCGAGGCTAGCGTTGATTTCTGGAGCGTTGCACTGTGGGTAGCTATCCCATAGTTCCCGCAGTCTCCTCCACCCATTGGAATTCTGGGTTGAGATCTCAATGCCTGATGGGGACAAAAACATTGTCGCGGGTGGTTCTGGGTACATCCTCCCCCCTCTCCAGGGAAGCAACGGCAGACAACCATTTTGCGCCTTTTTCCTGGGTGAACAGTGCAGACACCATACCAGGGCAAGCATGGAGCCCGCTCAGCTCAAGACAGCAGTCATGAACATTGTAAACACCTCGCGTATTATCGTGCAGTTTATGCTGAACCAGAACCTGCAAAACCAGGCAGCGAGGAGTAGGCTATGGCAGTGCGGCAGTGAGAGTGATGAGGACATGGACATGGAATTCTATCAAACCACGGGCACCAGTGCTTTGGAGATCATGCTGTTAATGGGGCAGGTTATAGCCATGGAACGCAGATTCTGGGCCCAGGAAACAAGCACAGACTGGTGGGACCACATCGTGTTGCAGGTGTGGGACGATTCCCAGTGGCTGCGAAACTTTCGCATGCGTAAGGGCACTTTCATGGAACTTTGTGACTTGCTTTCCCCTGCCCTGAAGTGCCAGAATACCAAGATGAGAGCAGCCCTCACAGTTGAGAAGCGAATGGCGATAGCCCTGTGGAAGCTTGCAACGCCAGACAGCTACCGGTCAGTCGGGAATCAATTTGGAGTGGGCAAATCTACTGTGGGGGCTGCTGTGATGCAAGTAGCCAAAGCAATCACTGAGCTGCTGCTACAAAAGGTAGTGACTCTGGGAAATGTGCAGGTCATATTGGATGGCTTTGCTGCAATGGGATTCCCTAACTGTGGTGGGGCGATAGATGGAACCCATATCCCTATCTTGGCACCGGAGCACCAGGGTACCCAGTACATAAACCGCAAGGGGTACTTTTCAATGGTGCTGCAAGCACTTGTGGATCACAAGGGATGTTTCACCAACATCAACGTGGGCTGGCCGGGAAGGGTTCATGACGCTCGCGTCTTCAGGAACACTATTCTGTTTAAATGGCTGCAGCAAGGGACTTACTTCCCGGACCAGAAAATAACCGTTGGGGATGTTGAAATGCCTATAGTTATCCTTGGGGACCCAGTGTACCCCTTAATGCCATGGCTCATGAAGCCATACACAGGCAGCCTGGACAGGAGACAGGAGCTGTTCAACTACAGGCTGAGCAAGTGCAGAATGGTGGTAGAATGTGCATTTGGCCGTTTAAAAGGTCGCTGGCGCTCGTTACTGACTCGGTCAGACCTCAGCCAAACCAATATCCCCATTGTTATTGCTGCTTGCTGTGTGCTCCACAATCTCTGTGAGAGTAAGGAGGAGACCTTTATTGGGGGATGGGAGGCTGAGGCAAATCGCCTAGCTGCTGATTATGCACAGCCAGACACCAGGGCAATTAGAAGATCACACCAGGAAGTGCTGCACATCAGAGAAGCTTTGAAAACAAGTTTCAAGACTGGCCAGGCTACGGTGTGAAAGCTCTGTTTGTTGAAAACTCGCCCCCTTGATTGACTCATTCCCTGTAAGCAAACCACCCTCCCCTCTTAAATCACAGCTTGCTTTTAAACGAAATAAAGTCACTATCGTTTAAAAATCATGTATTCTTTATTAATTGTTTATAAACATAGGGAGAGAACCGACAAGGTAACCCGGATGAGGTTTGGGAGGAGGATGGGAGAGAAGTAAAAGGTCACTGAAAAAATTCAATATAATGGCAGTCTTTTCGTTGGGCTGTCCACTGGGGTGGAGCCTCCCCCCCCCCCCTCCCTGCGTTCTTACACGTCTGGGTGACGAGGCTATGGAACATGGTGAAGGGGCAGGAAGGTTATACAGCGGCTGCAGCAGCACTCTGTTATCCTGCTGCCGTTCCTGAAGCTCCACCAGACGCTGGAGCATGTCTGTTTGATCATGCAGCAGCCCCAGCGTTGCAGCCTGCCACCTCTCATCTCGGGCGTCCCTCATGACCTCACGTTCACTGGCATCTTTCTTGTACTTAGATACCGTGTCCTTCCATTCATTCAAATGAGCTCTTTCATTGCAGGTGCATTCCATTATTTCCAAGAACATCTCGTCTCGTGTCCTCTTTCTCCGTCGCCTTATCTGAGATAGCCTTCGGGACGGAGGAGGGAGTCTTGAAAAATTTGCAGCTGCTGGAGGGATGGAAAAAACTCTGTTATAGTCCTAGCCTTCACAACCTCCTTAGGTAAGGAGTTCCACAAGTTGACTGTGTGTTGCGTGAAGAAGAACTTCCTTGTATTTGTTTTAAACCTGCTGCCTATTAATTTCATTTGATGATCCCTAGTTCTTGTATTATGGGAATAAGTAAATAACTTATCCTTATCCACTTTCTCCACATCACTCATGATTTTATATACCTCTATCATATCCCCCCCTTAGTCTCCTCTTTTCCAAGCTGAAGAGTCCTAGCCTCTTTAATCTCTCCTCATATGGGACCCATTCCAAACCCTTAATCATTTTAGTTGCCCTTCTCTGAACCTTTTCTAATGCCAGTATATCTTTTTTGAGATGAGGAGACCACATCTGTACGCAGTATTCAAGATGTGTGCGTACCATGGATCTATATAAGGGCAATAATATATTCTCAGTCTTATTCTCTATCCCTCTTTTAATGATTCCTAACATCCTGTTTGCTTTTTTGACCGCC